CCCCCCCCCCCCCCCCCCCCCCCCCCCCCCCCCCCCCCCCCCCCCAAAGATTTCTTGCATGTCTGAATATCAATTTACAAGTATGACCGACCATATATTGCAAGTTTGTTTTTCTTCTAATTCTAATTCAAATTTCAGTGGTTCACAATTTCGTAGCAGAATGGCATTTTATCAAGGGGCAGAAAGATGATTGATTTTCCCAATTTTAATCCACATGAATAATTCTACATTACGAAAGTTTGCAAGATATTTACCTCTGTGTCGGACACTGACCAATTTCCTTCAGCTCCATACTTGCAGTGTGTTTGTAGCAGGCCCAGATACATGCAATGCAGTAGAATACATACAGGAAGATTTAGTACAGTTGGAGAGAGAAAGAGAGAGAGGGGAAGACAGACAGAGACAGAAAGAGAGACAGAGAGAGAGAGAAAGAGAGAGGCAAGGAGAGACATAGAGAGACAGAGAGATATAGAGAGCGTGGAGAGACAGAGAGAGAGAGAGAGAGAGAGAGAGACGCAAACATAAAATCAATTCAGGTTAAATGAAAAATCAATATGATAAGGTTGGACAGGGCAAGGCCATAACCATTTATTCATTGATCTGGACCTGTACATTCGGATACTGTACTACTGTGCATGTACCTAGTTCACGTACATTGTACATCAATATCAGGAGTGGATAATGTCATTACATCATTGCATCATATTTGGGCAATAATCTTGCACATGTACAAGTTAATGGCCATTTTGAAGGTCACCAGTCAATCTAGAATGCAAAAATCTGATTTTATGATTGCATGATTATTGGCAAGTACTGAACACCACCTCGGCCTAAAGAAGTATTTGATTAACAAATATGAACATCATTCTTCTTTTATGCCAAACTACTTTGACAAATTCTTTAACATTCTGGCACAGTTCCTAATAACTGCTTTATTCATATATTCACACATATTCATAAAACTACCCGGTACTCAAATTTACTACAATGTGACTATGCAGTATACAGTATGGTTTCAATGGGTGCATCAAAACAGCCACAATAGCATTTCCCATTCATAAGCACTATGCAGTCTGATGATCTGATAATTAAATTACTAACTTCCTGTCACTCAAATTTATGTCAGGATTTAAGTGCCATTATATTAAAAACTGATATCAGTACCCCCTTGCATTCCTCAATAGGAATAGCAAATACTTGTACATTGTAAATGCAGTATTGCAATACGTCTGATTAGAGCAAACCAGGCAGTTATGTCATTTTGAGAGTCAGAGGCAAATATAATGTTGCCTTGTACATGACATGGTCTTTACTTTCTTAGCATAATATCAGCGTAACATGAAATTAAATCAGAAAAACTTAAAACTTTTTTAAAAACAATGGTCAGCGATTCACTATAAATCTCTATAAAGTGGTGAAAATCGATCATCTTTTTAGAGGCAGAAATGAAGGAGAAAAAATTGAGTATTTTGGGGACTTGATCAAAAATTAAGCTCATTATACATTTGTAAATTTAGTCTGAGAGGTTAAGCTCATTAACTCCTAATAAATATGGTTTAGTGACACAGTGAGCTTAAAAAATATCTTGCTGTGCCTATTTTTTTTTTTTTTTTTAATGAAAAGAATACACCCTTCTTGAGTTCTCGTTTTACACAATATGTCATGATCTCTCAAATTACAACTTTCGACATAGTGAGAGATAAATACATGGATAGCCACAAAGGTATCTCTTGCAAAACTGTCCCCCAAAGAAATAAGATTGCAATGATTATATTTCTGAACAAACAAATTTAGAGAAATGTGCATGGCTTTTATCAGAGAATGTACAGTAGATTATAAAATAAGATTAAACATAGCTCTAATTCAATATTCCTGTACAAAATATCAGCTGCCACATTTTATTTGTTGTCATTAAAGGAAAGTCCACCCCCAAAATAAGTTTGTTTCGATAGAGGCAGAATAATAAGAAACTCAGGTGAGTGAAAGTTTGAGCAAATTCTGAATGAAAATAAGAAAGTTATGAATTATTGAAGTTGTGATCAATCAAATACAAATTGGCAACTCTGTGACTTATTATACGAGCTCCCCTTCATTTGCTTTGTGCATAATATTCCATAAAATCATGTTTTCTTCGTTATTGATGACGGAATATATATTTGTTCCTTGCAGGGGGAGTATAGAAACTATTTGCAATTATTATATTTAGGGTGCATGTACAGGAAAATGAAAATTTAGATTTTTTTAGTACTGAGCAAATGGAAGTTGAGCTCGCATGATACGTCATAGAGTTGCCAATTTGTGTTTGATTGATCACAACTTCAAAAATCCTAACTTCCTTATTTTTAATCGGAATTTGCTCAAACTTTCACTGACTTGTTTCTCTCATTTTGCTACTCCTATTAAAACTAACTTAATTTTAGGGTGGACTTCCCCTTTAATGAAAAGGGATAATTATATTCTCTCGACCTTCCCTAAATAAGATAGATGACGGTTCAAATAGTTTACACAGGCAACACACATGACTACATTGTGTAGAATGTTTGCTGGCAGAATATACTGTACATACATGTTTGCGAACATTGTAATTAGCCTGTGTAAATAATTGTACGAACAACTCAACAAAATGTCTATTTCTATGTATATGTACATGTACGTGTAGTCTGCTAAGACATCTGTACTAGAATATATTTCCCAGCAGTCTTACACAGTATCATATTTTCCTTTAAAGGTAATACAAAGTTCTGGGAAATTTGAAAATACAGTGGATAGTGATTCTTTACAATTTTGATATATTTGGATGCCCCTGTGGATGTATTATAAGCATTAAAAACTTTAGCCCTTAAAACACTTCTGCTTTCGAGAAAAATTGAATACAAATATATCGGTGCTCCCGGTAATTTTGTTAAATTTCAAATAGCGCCTACGGCCGTACAATGCTAGCTGCGACCATGAAAATCTCAGAATATGTAGTTTGTGATACGTACATGTAATTTCCAAACGGGAATAGCTAATCGGTCGATTTTAGTCAAGAAACATTGTTTTATAGCTTTATTAATACTTTGACCTTGAGAGGGAGCTATACAAAATGAAGAGTTTATTATTTACAATTTCATAACTTTAGACTCGATTTCGACCGCAACAACGATCACTGAATATTGTAGGATCGTATATGCTTCCAATATGTTCATTTGAACCAAATTCATGACCCCATACCAAAACTTTGTATTATCTTTAACCTACTGTACATGTACCGATAACACTCTTGTATTCTAATAATAGATGCTCACCTTAAATAACATAATCCCCAGGAATAGTGCAAGAGCGATGAATGTAAAGACGGGTGATTCAATGTCATACTTGCTGACGGGTAGGTTCTCCTTCCAGTGCATGAATTCCTGTAGTCAAAGTCAAAGATAAAGAGTCAAGCTGAAATGTTAGAACTTGAAAAGGTACCAGAATTTAAATAGTAATAGTCAACATAAAATGCTGCAAAATCAATTAAAGGTGTTTCAAGCAGCAAGATATTAAGAAACCTACTAACAATTTACATTGTATCACCATGAAATATTTTGGCAGATCTACAACACCTTATTTGATTTTTGTCTACATGTATTTGATAAAGAAGAGTAAATTATTAAAGTATGGCTAATTGGCTATTAGTTTGTGTGGAAACAATACACAATTATTTTTCTCCCAATTTTGGGGGGATATTATACTGAAATATTGTCATGCATAATGTGACGAAAGAAAAAGGACTTTCAAAAGAAGTACCCTCCATTCCTAATTTCTAAATAAGTATAAACGGATTCAGTGTGACAACATCAAGATCAAAAGAAAACTGCACTCTGCAAAAAAAAATCAACTCAGATTTCATATTACCGGTATCCTTAAGTTCCTCTGACATTATTGTATCCATTTAACACACATGATGTACATATAAGGATAAACGAACTGAATTTTAAAAAAAAAGAAAAAATAACAGTAATTTCTTGCTTCCCATTTTTTGAGGTCCTATCTATGGATGTATATGTACAGGTATGTAGGAACTTGGAAGCATAGTAGAGTTGATCATATTTGCTAAATGACTAAAAATTGACATAAAATATGACCCTTTTTTCAGCTGACATCTCACACCAGAGATGCCAACCTCTTGACACAAAAGAAACAGACTGACGACTATCCTAAAAAAAAATAATCAGAATTTTAGAGAGAAAAATCAGAGTTTCACAAAAACTCGACACTACCACTGGCGTCAGTAAAATTTCAGAAAAATGTTATACTGGTAAGACCGGTCAAGTAAAATGTATGATCTTTCATTAAAATTTAATGAGAAAATTGTAATGTTTCTATTGTAATGCGATTCCGTGCTTATGATGGGTTTTTAAAATCTAAAATCGTATTTTAAGAGGTGATAAATATTGTATTATTCTATTTCACTTTTATTATCGTACTAAATACAATTTAATCGTACTGGTTGGCATCTCTGACTCTGTCACACCCATGTTTGCTTTGGTACTTGCCTGGTTGTAGGGGAACTTGGGCTATCCTCGTAGTCAAAGTCTGGGTAGTAGGACATGACTCCAATGCAGGTGAGGAACGTGATGAAGAAATCAAAGAGCTGGAGGCAGAAGAATGGGAGGATGTAACCGGACCGGTACTGGATGATGCCCTTCATCATCATGGTGGTGATGAGGAGGAAACAGAACACGATGACCAGGCCAACACAGTAGTCGGCTGAAGACAGAGTCAAAGTGAAAAATGAAAATCGTATGACGTGTGAATCACTGAGTTGGTTGTGAAAATGTGTTAAAATGCGGAAATTTAACTTTTAAGTTTACATTTACATGTACATGCACACGTATGATGCAGTACATGTGTAGTTTGTGTACATGTACATGTTATGTACCACCCCCCCCCCCCAAAAAAAAAAAAAACACACAGTGAAGCAAAATATGACGACATTGAAGAAGGAGGCACTCGACATATATTTCTGTGTCTGGTAACACTTCATGAGAAGTGAGAATGGTTTGGGATCTGGATCGTTTGCAGTGACAATTTTTCTTCCAATATTTGTTTTACCTGATAACATGACAGAGCTTAACATTAGAAAGTGCCTGTATTATGAATGACATGAATCTTTGCAATAACATAACAAAAGCACAAGAAATTCAAGTAATAATAAAAACATAAGCCACATCATATACCATGTATAGAGGCCTGGTGGAGGGGGGAGGGAGGGGGGTGGGTACAAGAGTTCAAGGTGCTATTCCCCTTACACTTCATCTTCCAAACCCTCCCATGTACTTTGCTTCGTCTATAAATGAGAATTTTTTTTGTAACCACTTGTTTACCGGTAAGTACAAATAGTGGTGTACCGGGTACATTCCTGTCTGATCTACATAATTGCATTACGTTCGGTGAAAATGGAAAGAATTACATGTACATGTACACCGCACAAGTTAAGTTGTAAACACTTTGTGATGAACATCTGTTGGTACTTCTGAGATTGATTTTCATGCACCCTTGAGTTGGTTGAAGCACAGGTGTTGCTATTTGTTTGGTAATATAATGATACAATCAAAATACAACTCTGTACATGTTCATGTACATGTACAGTACATGTATGTACAATGAATAAATTGTAATTGTACATGTACATATGTACATGTATGTACGAGGTTTAATGCCAGTACCGGTATGCCAATAATACCACTTGTTAATTATTGGCCAAAGAAGATTCCATATTGAGGAACATGAGGATAGAAGCAATAAAGATTTAGCAAAGGCGTTTGCAGGATATAGCAGACAAAATTCTATAGATAGTAATAAGTGTTTACACAGTCAACATGTACGAATACATGTTCATGTGCCAATGCTACTGCCAGCATACTTATGTTGATGTACATGTTGGAATGATAGAGGCCTAGAGGGGCAGTTTTGCTACCCACTAATATATGTAAATTTGTAAGCATGTTAAATGGCAAAAGTACTGTAGTGCCAAAGACTTTGTCCTGAATTGACCAAGGTGGTTTAAACTGTAAACCTTATCTACAGCAATTCAATTTGAGCATGCAAGGCCAAATACATGTACCTGCTAATGTACAGTACTTGTAAGTTGTAGATGAACAGAATAAATTTCTTCTATCTCTTCAGTAATCATTTTTGAAAAATAAAAGCAAACAAAACTGCTCTTTTTTCATTTTTAGAGATGGCAAACAAAAAATGTACTGCTCTTGGTTATAACTCAAGTCATTATCAATCATTTTAATAGTGTTTTATCTTTATGTTCCCCCTTTTGACAGCCCAGCGTAAATCAGCTACACAGAACATAATTTATTTAAAACCATCTCTAGTATAAATTAGGAGTTTAGGACCAATGCATTTCCCTGGTACATCTTCTTCTTCTTCTTCTTAGTTGATCCCTCCACTGTTTTGGAGATTCCTGGAGTCCAAATAAAGTAAATGTTTATAATCCGACCGTACATGTAACTCACATGCATCATGCTGACTGTTGAGACTAAGTGGCGTTTGTGGTGGGTCCTGTTCATCCAAGTCGATGTTCATTGCGTTGTCGCCTCCTCTCATGATCATGGATGCGATCAGGAGCATGGCGAACATTTGACCCATCTGGTGAAAGTTGAAGAAGAGAGAATTAAAATCATATCACTAATATTCATGCTAAATTATAATTGACATTAATGAAGAATAATAATTGTAAATAGGGGAAGGAGAAAGTTAGGAATAGAGTAAACGACACATAGATCTGCATGTACATGTAAGTACACTGTAAGAGTAAGAGGTCTTGAATAACAATAACAATTGGAACCAGCTTAAAGATAAAGACCAGTTATGGTCATGCGATTGCATTGTGAAAGAAACAGTGTGGAATCGATCAGAAAAGGTTGACCGTCGAGCATACTGCAAGGTTCTGGAATCATCAAAATGATAAGAGATTTGGTCCAGTCTTCGTAAAGTTACAAGCACTGTACATAGAAAGATGTATATGGGACTACGCACACGTGCGCGACACATGCATTTATCTCTCACACACCAATAGATAAACTAATTTACCAAATATATCAATTACTAGGCGGTTTCCCGGCAAATTTGTTATCATCATAACATGTATTAGTCAAAACATATTCTTTCACATGATTGGTAATAAAGAGCTTCCATTTCATTTTTTGAAATTGGGGCATTTCCAATACTGGTCTTTACAGTGTAGACTACCTTTATTATATTGCCCACACTGGCACACTCACCCTGTTAAATTCAAAATAACCTTGACGCCCCCCCCCCCCCAATCTACAAATTAATCCACCCTAAAGTGACCCTATCCGCACCTCCAGGTAAAACTCAGATGACTATTTTGGAGGACCAACAGACAAAGTACCAAGTACCAAAAAGTACACCTTCTTCTTCTTAGTTGATCCCTCCACTGTTTTGGAGATTCCTGGAGTCCAAATAAAGTAAATGTTTATAATCCGACCGGTTAGGAGCTTTGGAGAGTCTTAGAACGAGAAGCATCAATTTTGTGTAGGAAAAAGAGCGATAGTAGAAGTAAGTTATTATGAATTTCGGAAGGCAAGCATGGATGCAGGGGTAACAGAGTAGCAGGAGTAAATTGCTGTGGGTCATCAACAACATATAGGTTTAGACAGATGGGATAATCCACGAGGCATTCCTTGACTTTGCTGATGAAATCCTGACGGAGATGAGCCAGGCATGAGCAGACTCCAACAAAGTGCTCCACTGTCTCATCGTTGGTTTTACAAAGGGGGCATGTAGAGATAGGCGATTTCTTAAGCGTGAAAAGACGGCATTGTGTCAAGTAAGTGCATGTGAGTAATTGGGCTCTCACTATAAGAGCTCTTCGGATGGGAGGAGGTGATGCAATCTTTGGATATAGGAGATTTGCAGAGGGTAGAGTGATATTTATCCAGAACTTGAGAGAGGACTTAGAGTGGATTCCTTGTAGAGTATTGTGTTTTACCACCAGGATGACTTTGTAGTTGATCATCCTTTTCCATGTTGAGTAGAGGGGTGGGTTCGAGACGAGGCTTTGGAGGTCTGGAAGATCATACTTCCTCAATGCCTCTTGAAGGACCAGTATTGAGGGTGTATGCGTTTTGAGGGCATCTAGGAATGTTCTGAATTCAAAACGGCTGTGATCAAGCTTGATGAGTTGACCTAAAAGCAAGAGCCTACCAAGATCAATTTGCACTGAGACTGGCAAGAGGTTGGTGAGCAGGTAGACAATCTCATCAGCAGCAGACTTCGGCACCCCTAATATCTGTTTGGCAGTAGGCAGTACCGCACACAAAATTCAAAATCCACTTTAAATGGTCCGGAGTCTCACTTCTTATAATCATAACGAATGGTCGAACTTCAGGACTATCATAAAATTATCAAAATGTCATGCCTAAATAAATTCATAATCATATTCATGTCGATGGGATTGTTCTTGTGAACTGGTTATTGGTTGGCAATTTGGCATTCCGTCATTTCCAAACATTAATCACAGTTCACATGCGCCCCTCCCTCCCTCCCTCCCTCCCCCTCCCTCCCTCCCTCCCTCCCTCCCTCCCTCCCTCCCTCCCTCCCTCCCTCCCTCCCTCCCTCCCTCCCTCCCTCCCTCCCTCCCTCCCTCCCTCCCTCCCTCCCTCCCTCCCTCCCTCCCTCCCTCCCTCCCTCCCTCCCTCCCTCCCTCCCTCCCTCCCTCCCTCCCTCCCTCCCTCCCTCCCTCTCTCTCTACGTACATGTATGCAACATGGATAATGCCAAAATATTTGTGAACAAATTAGCAGTGAAATACTTGTATATATCAGTAGCTCCACGTGAAATAAATGTTATTCTCTTCAGCACATCTTTTCAATGAAATAAAGGTTCATCATATCTAGGTCTAGACTATAGACCCTATTATATATTGTCTTTGATGTGAAATGAACTTACCAAGTGCCATAATCCGATGAGTATAGATCCCGTTCTCACGTCCAAACATAAACAACATGCCGGAGCACTCGGTGTTCCCCACCTTGTTCTCATGATTATTGCTCAAAAGTCACGTCACAAGCAAGGAAATGGCCTACACCATCTAGAAATACAGAATTTCTAGATCGAACGGTATATAAAATACTAAATAAACGATCACAAACTAATGATAATTTTAACTGGAAACCACTGGAAATGTAACGGGGTACGGTTATCACAATGATAATTTCCGCAATAAAGTTGTGTAGGCCTATGTAAAATACGTACACGTTCTGTAATTATACGCATGTTATTATACATGTACTGTACTGTATGTTGTTGTCATTGAGGAAGTAGTCCCGCGCGCTGCGGAGATTTTCTAAATCGGCAGCTCGATGAAGAAACCATATTCATGCGCTGAGCATAATGTAACGCCAGTGCAATAGAGGGGGAATGATCGAATATTATCCCGTACTTTTTATCCATTCCTGTTGCCTTTGCTTGAAAGTGATGATAAACCTCTTCTACCAGTGAAATACATTGATGATAGTGATGATAATGATCATGTTTGAATGAAGGGGGAAAGGAGTTCAGGAGAGCCGGGCCTAATAATTAAAACTTGATTTAAAAAAAAATAAAATTGTATAACACAGATTAGGAAATAAGTATATTTTTTATTATTTTGTATTTTGTATTATTATTATTTCATTTATTATTATATATTTTTTGTTGATGGGGGAGGGGAGTGGGTGGAGGAGGGCATGAGGAGGGCATCAGGTTGGATATTTGGGCAACGTATCCCCATCACCAACAAATATGGAGACAAATCCGTTATGACACTATTAGACACCATTGGGCTCTCATGTTTTATGTAGCATTTATTATTTCTATTCATAAAAGGTGTCTGTCGAGTGCAAGCCTTTTTCCCTTCTTCTCTCTTTCCCTCTTTCAGCACACACCCCCCCCCCCCCCCCATCTCTCTCCATCTCTCTCTCTCTCTCTCTCTCTCTCTCTCTAAGTATCTCATGCAATAATGGCATTCCTCTCTCTCTCTCTCTCTCTCTCTCTCCTCAATTTCCTCCTCTCATATTTCATCATATACATTATTTATGTTTTGAAAAAACATGAAAGGAAATATGTAGGATAGTGAAAATGAAGAGAAAAGTACAAGGAGTATGAAAATACACAAGTGCAATGTAATTATTAATACCAAAATGGTAGGAGAGAAAGAAGGATGAACTAATAATAGCAGGAAAATAAATTATTAATTTGATAAAACTCAATAAGCAAGAAAATAAACAATGTATACCGGTCTCTCAATAATCACACATCATGAGTCAAAATTCTTTTATTACAAGACACTCCACAATTAGTTTTATTACACTTGCACAATAATTATAGTGATTCTTGTATGATTGAACATGAGCAAAAAGAGCTATTCAGCTTCTGGCTATAAATTGGCTATAACATCTTTGTAACATACAACATTCAATTTAATTCTCATTTTTAAAGAAAATTACTTTCTCCCTTAAGTTTGAGGAAAGTGGTCCACTGCACAATAAAATTTCACCATTAGCTGCAACACCATCCCCACTATAACCACTTGTGACCGTGAAAGCAATTTGATAAGTCAGGTGACATCAAGGTCATGTGACAGGGTCATATGATAAGTCATGTGATGGCCATACAGGGATGAAAGCAAATGGTACCAAGCAATGAATATCATTTATCAAACTTTATCACCAAATGCAAATTCAAATCAATGAAAAAATTAAAGATGATGAAAACATAAAAGAACTAAACATTGCCATATAGATTGCATAAATATTAAATAACTCTGTATCTAAATAATATCTAGTTAGCTTTCAGGTCTCATTGCAGGTTATTTAGATTTTTAAGTAATTTCCATATTATATACACACAGTAGTAGATAACAAAGCACCTCTGGATTAAATTAAAAATGTATTAATTTTTTATGCAATCTAAACCTCTTATTTAACTTTCAATTCTTTCAAAGTAAATCATTGACACAAAATAATTCAATGTTGTATCAAAATGAAATGAAACAAAACAGATAACTTTAAATTGTTCTTTTTAAAAGAAATAACAATCATAATTTATGAAACCAAATTGGCAATAATCACAAATCATGGCACCAACTTGGCAACATGAGACCGGCATAAATCACTGATACAGATCAGTAAGTGCACATGAATTTTCTAAATGTTTCAACACACACATATACATAGCGGATCCAATTTTAGAACCTTGAATACCATCTCAAAAAAATTATCTCAAGGTCCATGAATGCTGTACACATTTGTTTTAGAAGTATACATAAAAAATAAACAACGACAAAAGCACTATAGGCAGTCCTCTATCCATTCTACAAAACTTTGGATGGGATGAACATTTCACAACACTAATAATTATGCCACTGCTGTCATGAATATTCATGATTGATGACAGCACATATAATAATGCCACAGCTGTCATGAATATTCATGATTAGTGACAGCACATTCTCTAGAAAATATTTTGGTAAGAGACTTGAAAGTGATTTCAGATTTTGACATATAGTTTTTACCTCTATACTTCCTCAATACATTCAAGTGTAACTTTTTTGAAAAGTAAAGTACATTTAGAATATTTCCATCATATTTAGTACGCGTATTCACCAATATGTGAACAAACATTAGCGCTACAACAATGCATATCATCTGTTTAAAGGCAGAAGGGAGTTCGATCTGTATACCGGTAAGTACCATATAACATTGAACGCCCTTCCGATTTTCAGCAGATTACATATACACTGTATTAACATTAATCAGTACAAAAAGAAAAGATATATCAGATGCTTGAAAAAAACTGCCAATATGGAAATTGAATGTGGTAACTTTAATAGTCTATTATTTTCTTCTTTTAATTCAAATTTGGTAACGAAGACATCGCATTTCATACAGCAACCCAAGTCTGTCATAATACAGATTTTTTTTTCAACAGCTGATTGAACACAGTAGTTAGCATTACTTGATAATATACTCTCCATTTTCTTTCACATCATGTTTTTCATACAAACTCCATCTCAAACCTTCATTCATAAAGTAAAGAATAAATAGAAATTAGTATGTACATGTATAATCACAAACAAATCACACAGAATCTATAAACAGTTTGCTTGAATTTTGCAATTAGTCCAAATTAAAGATATACTTTTTATCTACAATGTTCATGTATCATTGATAAAGCAATGATTAAGCTTTACTCCTTTCCTCTTACATCAACTACTTTTCCAAGACTTGAGCAAACCTGGATTGAAATTGAGCTCATGAGTTGTCCATAGCATTTTAAAATTTCTTTTATCGTTTACTTTAATAGTAAAACACATATCAACAAAACATACAAATACAACCTCATTATCAAATTGATATTCAATATGTTTCCATAAATGACTGTAAGATTACAATTGATGACACATTTGTTCATATTGTGATTAATCAAAGTAACACTCATTTAATGCAAGTTAATGCCCTTCAAACTCCCAACTGACAATGTTCACATGAATATATCTTCAATGAGCTACTTTTCTCAAAAGTGCTCCTTAATCTCTTCAATGAGCTACTTTTCTCAAAAATGCTCCTTAATCTATTCTAGATCAAATAAAATGATGAAATTTTGAAGCAGTCCATCACACAGACTTATCATTATTCAATTTGATCAAAACCGACCTTTGATTCTTTAATACTTTAGACATGGGAATATCTTTATATCTAATTTGACCATGGCGCATAATTATAGAGGATAGTTGTATGTACTTTGTGAAGTAATCTCTTCAATACAAAAATGAAAGGGAAAAAAAGTTTCAGAAAATTGTCTTATGCCCTATTGTATGGCCACTCGCTAGCCAAATATCTCTGATAAAATGAGACTTTGTAGTGTTTTTCTAATAAAAGTAGACAATTCACTCAATGTCTGCACTGCACCATTGGCACTACAAAATAAATAGTCGAGATTGTGTCACCATAACATCAGAAACCTTATTTTTCAGTGTAAATACCGGTATAATAGGTACAGTCAAACCTGTCTACAGCCACCGCCCAAGGGAAACAAAAAATGTGCTTGTTGTAGACAGGTGGTCACTAAAGCAGGTTTAAATGTACAAAGAAATTAAGGAAAGGGAAACGATTGTCATTCAAATGAAACCAGGTCTAATTACAACTGTATTAAAAGTAGAATCTGGTTTTATAATCCCAGCTCCAATGTCTAATTTCTTCTTTTTTCTCATCTTTCCCTCCAGACCCCAACAGAATACAAAGTAAAATTTGAATATTTTTTTTTCTCCAATGATTGAAAACAAAATGGAAGCACTTCATCAACAAAGGCACACGGGTCTGACTTGTGGTACAGATACATGTAGTGTAAAATCAGAAATAGACACTGAAGCTGGGTAAACAGCCCCCCCCCCCCCCCCCCGCCCCCTCCACCAAAAAAGTAACAATACCATGTACCCAATTAACTACCGGTATATTACATAACATACTGGGCTCATTTTAATTCTTACAATTTGTCGTATTTAACAAAACAATTTAATGATACTACAAACTTACAGAATGTGAATTCAATGAGGGCTATTTTTCTTGATTTTTACCCTTTTTTACACTGCTGACAGAAAACATTTATGAGGTTACTATAAATCTAGTAAATACATTTCGAAGTTGGGCTTAAATTGTGACAGTTTGCCATATGTTTAGTTTCATTTTTGTAAAGTTTGGCATGTTAGTCAGTAAGCCACCAATCAGTAACTCTACAGAGTGAATTGAAATTGAAATTGAAAGGTCTTATCGATGCACACATGTACAATACTCACTAAACTGTATGGAACTTCATTTGGGAAAACAAAAATTGGCAACATTTACATCATCTGCTGGTTCATCAGGAAAGCTTCATACAATCAATGTTCAATATGCAAACAAAAATTATTTAAAAAAGAAGAAGCAGAAATCACAGTCACTACAACGAAAAAGGGTGGATTGCATGCAAAATACCAAAACAATTAAGCAAAAAATGTTGATATATTTTAATTAAGTACACATATATCCAAATGAGAGTTGAAGGTAGTGAATGGTATAGGCCATGTTACGATGTATCAAATTCATTCATGCTTTCTAGACTAGTAGCTGTAACATATCTCAAATGATTGCAGTAGGTTAGTTAAAGCGATACTGAACTGATAAGCTTTCTGCCCTAGCAACCTGTTCAGAGCCATCTGTATACAGAGTTTGGCCAACCCGGTTCAAGTTGGACACAATAAGGCGACTACTGCTTTGTTGGGCAAGCCCAAAATGAAAGAATATATGCCATGTTGTGACCCAGTAAACCCAATCCGGCCAAACTCTGTGTATCGATGGCTCTGGTACTGTTTATTGCACAGCGCCATCTCATGGTCAACTTGCCAACAGTGTGTGATCCAATACCCAATTTCTGCTTTGCAGACAGAGGACTCAATGCAAGGACCAACAGTGCAGCGAGTTAAGGGACCATACTCCTACAGCTGACCTGAGATGGCGCTAGAGCGGATGCTCCTAGAAGTGTTGCTTTAAAGCTGACAATGATGAATGCAAGAAATGAATTGATTAAACAAGACAAGTAACAAAGGTTTCTTATATATATATATATATCAATCACTTCTCAATGATGTTTAGGTTAGCACAATATCGTATGAAGTCAGTTGCCCATAATTCACTTCAGCCAGAAATTTAATGAAACTGTCTCCATAATAATGAGCTTCTTTAAGCTACATTTATATTTCAAAACAGGCTACTATTCATATTGTTTGGTAATGTGGCAAGTCATTTTTCAGTCTTTACTTCTTCTTCTTCTTATTTCAAATTGATACAATCATTCTAGACACCACTCATATCAAACTAAATAGCACAATTGGCTGAAATAGGGTCACAACAATATCTTGATAAGTAGATCAGTCTGAAATACCTCTGTATCGTTTCACACTTCATTAAATAATTATTACCCATGTAATATGCTTAAGGCAGTGGAGTGAACAAGTGCAGATTAAGTACAGTAGCTTAAGAGTATATCCTTAAAGGAATGTTAGCATTGTTAAAAAAAACAAATCCAACAGTTGAAAGTATGAAACAATGCGAGGTAAAGGTACAGGGAATGAAAACACCTAGTTGTTTGTTTCCTTGTAATCGATCATTATCAAGATATCTTAGATCCAAAATCTATTTGTAAGTGTAAACCGAATGTTATATCTAGTATAGGTTAGAGGCAGTGTACATACCTAGCCGCTTTTGCCAACCATTTATACTGATTTGCCTTTAAATTAAATCACATTTGATTGCAACGAACAGTTTAGGAAACAAAATGTTTAGGATGACAATGAACACCCCATTAACAACAAAAAGAAGAGAAAAAAAAGATTATTCACTGTCGTGCTCTTCAATCGATATCGATTCATTTTGGTTTGTTGAAACATTTCATATCAAAACACAAAGACATCGTTGTGTTCATAATTGTCCTGGGGTAGAGTTTAGTCCCATTCAGCCATTTATTTATTGTCAGGCAATCCAATATATATTTACATATATCACATATGTTTAATTAATAATTTTGAATAACTATATTCACATTTTCAAACCTTCATCTTGAGACATAATGAAAGAAGTGATAGAGCATTAAAAGATAAGTTGAACATTTTGATGTCCAATAGAGTACTGTATACAAAGCAGAAGATAGTAGATTTACATAGGATCTATTTGAACCAACGGCATTAAGCAATGTTGTTTAACACAGAGTTAACACCGTTGTGGCTCTAGTGAGTCCAGAAAGACCATGCTTGTGATTAAAACATGAAACTAAATTGTTAAGGAGTCATAAGGACCGTCATATTTTCACCACATGCATTTTAATGCAAATAAATGATCAAGTAAGATCGCAGTAAAGACTAGTAATGAATAAATAGAGTTGAAAGATTATTAGTGGCAAAATGAAGTCAAGAAAGTTGAGTTAAGGAATGATTGAATATTAGTTTTGTAAATAGTACTTTTAAAAGAAGATTCTGAATTCAGCCTGCAACTGCTTATGTGCTGAGAACTTGCAGAATCTATGCAGCAAAGAAGTATTCAAGCAAAAGTTTTGTTTGATCTGCATGTTTTCCTAATTCTCATGCACACATACATTACATGTATATGAGTACACGTATTAAAGATAATTGTTAAGTATATAGCTGTATCTACAGCACTTCAGTTTATGAAGCCTATCAAAAGAATGGTATATTTCTGACTAGTTTTAAGTAGAATTATAATTGAATGCAATCTGCATAGATGTAGCTAGAGTGTTTTTAATCATTTATCATTAACTGTTCAGCCAAAAAAATTATTCTCCAAATGCCTTATTTCCTGAGAGCCAGAAGGATGTTAACTCACATTTTATATAGAGCTGGATCCATTCTGGCTTTCAACAGAAAGAAATGTTTTGCTATGCTCCTCTGGCTCTTAATATGATATAAAAACACATCAATGACACTATCTTGAGATAAAATTTCAGTCTAAAGAACTCCTCTGACTAGTTAAGAGTAGGGAAATGCATGAATAAATGACTTCGAGGCCATGAAAGAGTTTGGAAAGGGATCGCTTGCCTAAAGCTTCATTGCTCAGCAGCTAATCAGAATTGAGCTTTTTGCTGTCACTGTTACAAGCCACAGCCTGGTTGGTCGGCTGAGTATTTTACATCATTCACTCGGAATCATCGAGCAGCCAGTCAGAATCAAGCTCTTCGATGTAGCTTGTTACAAGCCCAATCCTGATTGGTTGGCTGAAACACATGTATCTTACACCTATCATTGACAATCCCCAATAGCCAATCAGAATAAAGCTTTCTACTGGTACCTGTTATAAGCCAAATTCTGATTGGTTGGCAATGTAACATCTACCGTTGAAAGTTGCAATCCACAAGCAAGGTCCAGAAAGCAATATTTGCATGGAATGATAAACATGACAAAGTCATGCCAAGATCAAATTCATCCTTGAAATGGTGAACAGCAAAGTTGTGATACACATAAGACACATCTTGAACAAATATTCCCACCAGAACTCTTAAAGATAATATATGAATATTCCACTTGCGTATCTGTTTGAATTAATTAAACATATGACATACTGTACATGAAGCTCAATTCTGTATAGATTTGGTTTGTAAGTTTTGGTAACAGATGGGCCCCGTTGCATAACATTTTAAAACCGATGATGGTAACTTTGCTATCGATTGCAACTACCATGATAACAGGGCTCAACAGCCAATCAAAATCAAGGTTTCCATGGTAGTTACCATCGATGGCAAAGTTACCATCAATGATAAGTTTTGCGCAATAGGCCCTGATCCATGCTCTCTAATAATACATGTATATAATTTTAACAGATTCTCTCGTTCTGATCAAGTCAAAGCAAATTTGTTTCCATCCATACGTCACTGCAACTACATCTAAAATTTCAGTGTATCTGATGACTGCATCAAGCTGATAGCCCTCCTAGAGCTAGAATCAGACACAAAACATCAAATAAAATGAGATTTTGATGTCACAATTCAATAATTCATGGTATTTGGGACACAACTCAGGGACCCGTTTCACGAAGCCTTTTTTCAATGACAAATGACAAAAATCAGTGGCAAATCTGTTGATGACCAATCAGAAGCAAGGATTTCACTAGCTTATAATAAAAACTGTCATTTGTCACTGATGACAAGTTTTGTGAAATGGGGCCCAGATTCGTCCATCTTCGTGCTCCACTATCTATCAATATTTAGAAAAACCATGCAACATGCAGGAAATAGATGTACCAATATATTTCTCAATATTACAATGCAAGCATTCCTTTAACCCATGTACAATGTATATTTGATGTAGTACTTGAATAAGATTTCACAGCACAGAGTAGTTTGGCCATGGCATATAGAGATTCACATGAAATTCAACTATATTCATTTACTGCACCAATTAGTACTTCTGACAAATTGTACTTGAGCATGTTTCAAACCTTTGAATCAAAATGTTAAAAGGTGCGAACAGCATTGACATTACTAGTCTACACGAACATGTGATACTGAAAATAGTTCATCTAATCCCTTTCCTGTCCAAGTAAGTTCACTATCTGAATGATTATGATACAAACACCAACATATCTCAAAACCCATTACTGAGTAGCCAGAATGACTTTTAAATTTTGTCAGCGGTTTTATGAGCCGACAAATCCGTAAAATATATATATATCAATGTACAGATTTGTTGATTCATAATAATGATGACGAATTACTTCATGTTGTTCTGGATCTCAGTAAATTAAAATAATCTTAATTTTCTACTCGTTGAGAATGTTTGTTCATCAGCCAACATGGACAGCTACAATTCGATGTCCAAATGATACAGACGTCCAAAATCCATTGACACATCAGTCCAATGAGAGCCAAAAAAGGCATTAACTCATCTAATTTTGCATAAAGCTAGCGCCCTTTCCACACTCGGCAGATGAAATATTTTGCATGTTCTAATCGTTGAGAGAGTTTTTGGTTCACCTGCCATTATGAACTACTACAAGTCGATGTCTGAATGATAGAAAGTATCAAAATCTGGTATAACATCAGATGAGAGCGTTAACTCAGCCTTTTTTGCAAGAGTTTAGCGCCCTTTCCACTCTCATCAGATAAAATATTTTGCATGTTCTAATCGTTGAGAGTTTTTGTTCACCTGCCATTATGGACGACTCGATTCGATGTCTGAATGATAAAAACAATCAAAATTTGGTATAACATCAGTTGAGTGCTTGAAAGGCATTAATTCATATATTTTGCATGTGCTAATCGTTGAGAGAGTTTTTTGTTCATCTGCCATTGCGGCCTGCTTCAAGTCGATGTCTGAATGAAAGAAAGTATCAAAATCTGGTATAACATCGGTTGAGAGACAGAAAGGCATTAACTCATATACACTCTGGATTTCCATAAAGTTACTGCCTTTCTGGCTCTGAACAATCACAAATATTCTTTAGGTTCTACTGGTTGAGAATGTTTGTTCACCTGTCATTATGGACTGCTACAATTCGATGTCTGAAGAATAAAAACACCCAAAATCTTGCAACACATCAGCTGAGAGACAGAAGGGTCTTAACTCCTATACTTTCAATGAAGTAAATGTCCTTATAGCTCTTAGCAGACAAGAATGATCCTCATTCTCTACTCATAGTTTGCTCATTTGCCATTATGGACAGCTACAATTCGATGTCTAAACGATTAAAACACCCAAAATCTTACAACACATCAGTTGAGAGACAGAAGGGTCTTAACTCCTATACACTTCAATAAAGTAAATGCCCTTATAGCTCTTAGCAGACAAGAATGATTCTCATTCTCTACTTGTAGTTTGTTCATCTTCCATGATGGAAACCAGTCTTAGGTACCCAGGTAAGGAGGGACTTCTGTAGGCCGATGTACTTCTTGATGGTCACACAACCATGGTAGGTCAGGGCTCTCGGCATCGGACCCAGGACCGTCCACTCGTTGGTCTGAGGGTCAAACTGCTCTACGCTGTTGGTCGAGATGGTCAAGGCATCGTCCTCGTCCCCCACCGTCCACTGACCACCGATGACGTCGATCTTCTTGTTGGTGACCGTCATGGAGTATAGCTCCCTCGCGTGGCCATCTGCGTGCTGCATCTCGGCTATCGTGTTTACTTCCCCTTTGTGCGGACTGTAAACCTGGTACCAAGGAAAACATTGAAGATATTAAGTGTCATACAATTTTCTTCTAATACTACATTTCTGACTTTGGGGCCAGCAGGGTCATTTCTGATAGTCATGGCTTGATATAAATGGCACACTACAAATAAATATATTCATAATTCTGAAACTTGCATATAGTCTTTGGTAAATACATTTGTTCAGATTTGGACTGGCAAATGAAATCTGAGAATTTATGATACAAATAATGAATGTACTTTTCAAAATATCTTTCTTATAACGAGCCAGGATTGGTGGTTGTGAACTAGTTTGCAGACACAGGCCCGTGTCATCTGGTATGCGTAACAGCAGAGATGCCAACCTCTTGAGATTTTGGAGAGAAAACTCAGATTTTCACAAAAACTCGACACTACCACTGGCCCGTCGGCCCCGGGCCAGTAAGATTTCAGAAAAATGTTTGCTCTTTCATTAAAGTTTAATGAGAAAATTGCAAAGCAAATTTTTTGTTGGGGTTGCGGGGGTTTACTTGTACATGTTTCTATGCGATTCCGCTGTTTTGTTATAGGTTTAAATAAAGTTAAACAAATCAAATCATATTTTAAGATTTTAAGATCTGTACTTATGCTCCTACCAGTAACTAACAGATCTATGCTCTACTCAAGGCTTCAGGATTTGGAGTAAAGTGTCAAATGGTGGGATAAGCTAGATAAGTATTAATACTTTTGTCATAGAGACCAGTTTTATGAAGCAGGGCCCAGGTGCTGAATTTACCTGTACTTTGTACTCAGTCCTCCCTCCTACTAGATATATCTTGCTCTTCAGAGTGGCTCCAACCCTTGGTTCACAAGGCAAGGATAGATCTTTAATGATTGTCCAACAACTTTTGTCCACATGAAAGCATTGCACCAGGATATCGTTCGTGTCCTCCATGTGTCCTCCAATGACGTAGAGACGCCGACTATGGGCAGTCACGACTGGATCAACGACTCCATACGTCATAGACTCTGTCTGCTTCCACTGGTTGGACCGCCGATTGTATCGTTCGACTTCACGAAGGGGTTCGTTGGAGGAGTCCAGACGGCCACCAACAGCGTATATCCGGTCTTGGACGACGCCGAGTCCCTGGCAGAGTCGGGGAACAACAAGCCCGCTGCATTGTGACCATTCATTGAACAGCGAGTTATACCTCCAGGTGTCACCAGTGATTAACTTTCCCTCATTGCGTCCACCTATTACATACACATCATTGCTGTGAGCAACCACACGGTATTCAGTAGTGTTCCCAGGATACTGCGCAAGTGGGTACCACTTGCGTCTGACACTGTCATAGTAGCATGTGTCTCTGATCCAAGTCTGCTGCTTGTTGCGCCCACCGACGACAAAGGTCACGTCGGAAAAGGCCCTCCTGGGTTTCATTCGAGGTTCCCCGCTGTTCCTGCCCTCGCGTATGATCTGCTGCATCTCCATAGCCTCCAGGATCAGGAACTGGCAACCCTCGTTGTCTCGGATCAGCGGAGCCATCTTGATTTTATCCCGGAGCATATCTGGAGGGATGTAGGGGAGGCGGATACACATGAGCATGTCTGAGAGGTACCCGGCTCTTTCGTCTTCCTTGTACTTGACCCATTTCATCAAGGCGTCAAAGGCATCTTCTTCAGATCTCAGGTTGAGGTTGTCATCTCCCAGGTAATCCAGGACTTCCTCAGGAGATAGCTGAAGGAACTGATCCTGCTTGATCACCTCTGGGAAGCACTTCAAGGCATATTTTGTGGCAGCCTGGAGAGATAAAGGGAGCAAGTAAGAGAGCAAGAGAGTGAGAGAGGGGGCATATTTTAGTCTCAGAAACTTGATTTCAATATTTACAGGGATGCCAGTTAGAATTGACCAGAAAGCTTGAAAACTACCTAGAATGAGCTATTTTGTACACCAAAGAAATGTAAGTATGGCCTGAAAATAAATCACTAGGGTCTGAATTCAGACTTTTGCCTGGAAACGGGCATCCCTGTTTTTACACTAGCTACAATCAACGTTTAATTGAAATTTAGATATTGGCAACTATTTAGATTGACTAGTAAGCTGAGGTTACGTTGGTGCAGGCGGAATCTGATAGCTGGTATAATAATAATAATAATAATAATAGGCATTTCTATAGTGCCGTCTATCTAGATAATTCTATTCCGAGGCGCATTATTATTACCCCGGCTTTAGCCTAGCTGCCGTGTATACAGCGCTCCAGCATTTCAAGGAATTAATTCCTGCCAGGTACCCATTTACATCACCTGAGTTGAGTGTGGCAAATGTAGATCAATGTCTTGCCAAAGGACATTAGTGCACACAGCGTCTTCACAAAGCCAGATAGACTACATGTAGCTGAAGGTAAGTCCTTATATTTCAAAGTTTAACATTGATTTTCAATGGTATATTTTCAGATCGTAAATCTCTAGTGGAAGTTCAATGGTCAAAGAAGAGAAACTGGAGACAATCTTCTGGCTAGATTGTAGCCAAACTCATGATTTAACCCCTCAGTTCACAGGCAGCATTCTGTAGCTTAAAGGCATTGTTTAACAATGTTAAATATGAGATGCATGGCCCTACGTGTTATCAGTGTCTGTGATATGGTGTAATATTGAAGCCCTAAAAAAAATTGTGCTTCCAAATGATCAAAAAATCTTAGAGTGACCGATTTTTAACATACTTGTTTTCGCCAATAGACTGTAGTGTAATGAAAACCGTTAGGAAAACGCAAAATTTGGTTTTGATTTTAAATCATAAATATCTTGATAATCAGACAGGCGATCGCTTGTAAAAGTCATGGGGTTCCTGACTGACCTAAATGTTTATAATTATCATTACAGCATGAGCTAAATCCAGGATTTTGTTTCAGAATCTGAGACAAAGTTACCGGATCCCTTTAAACATTACACAAGTATTATCTGTTGTGTAAACAGCTACCTTATGGAGCTGTTCACAGCTGGGATTCTCATAGGCTGTTCTCTGGATCTCAAGGCAGTTTGCAGGATCTAGCATCCCTCTCAGGAAATCACTGCACTTCTGAATGGCCGAGGAGTGCTTCATCATGGACGCCAACTGCAGGGCCTCTCTGGCATTCTCTTCAAATATCTGCAGGGAAAAAAGGAGAGTGAAAGAGAGGAGGGAGGGAGGGTGGGAAAGAGGGAGGGAGACACAGAGAGAGATTATAATGGGAAGAGAAATATTTTTTTAAAGGTTTGATGGTACGCAAGAAAAAAAGAGGAGAAAAGGTTAGGTATGATGAAAGAAAAAAAAGGGGTATAAAAGAGAGAGGGGAGAAAGAGAGGGGGAGAGAGAGAGGGTGAAGACAGGGAGGACAGAAATAGAAAGATAAAGAAATGGAGGGAAGGAGGGGAGAGATAAAAGAGTGGGGGAGAGTTAGGAGAAGGGAGAAGAGAGAGTCAAGGTTATAATGTTTGTGATTTTAAAATGAAAGGAGAAAAAGAAAGGAAGAGGAAGCATTGAGAAGAGAGAGGAAAAAGAAGAGAAAACAGAAAAAAGAGATGTGATGGAGAGAGGGAGAGAGTGAGAGTGGGAGAAGAGGCACGCAAGAGTGACATAATGGAAGAGAGAGGAATGAGGGAAGAGCAAAAGAGAGGAGAGGGATTAAGATTTTTAGTGTTTGTGACCCGATAAGACTTTATGCAGATGCTCAAATTAATCTTAGACAGGAGCTGTGCATCTGTCATGTAAATTTAAGGTTTAGGTACATGTCGCTTCAGGGCATGTCTTATTTTGAATGTTTGTATTTTTAGCTCATGTACAGTCCTGTCACGCAGGTACAGTATTCCCTAAATGTAGTTGATGCCTGAATGCCATGAACCCTTTTTTAAAATAATGTTACATTTTTTCCTTAATTTGAAATAGCAAAATCAACATTTTCAAGTGTATTTTCATAAATTCCAAAACAAAGTGATCATCAAATACATGCAGTTTCTTATTCAGGTAATCACCCCTTTTGGTTGTTTGCAACTTAATCAGACCCTTTTGTTTCATGTACAGGTATATGTAATGCATGTCTTCTAAGAAAGTGCCCATATAAAATTAATGCTAATTGTCCTGTATAGTCCAATTTTTAATAACAACTTGGGGGAGAATTACAGTACCTCCAAACGAGATGTGTAGGTGTAATTGACAATCATCCTCAGGACCGACGGGGTAATGTCCTCAATGGTCACTTTCCCCGACTCCCCAGTCTGTAACATCCTCCTCTCCATCACTTCATCGATGGTTGCTATGACAACCCGATGGCACTGAAGTTCCTCCTTCTCCACACACAGTCTAACGTCCACGAATTTGCCATCGTGTCTTTGGTCGTTTAGCCCGAGGAGGATTTCGTTGACATGGTAGGGTTGTTCAAAGGTGTATTCGGTAGCGAGCTTTGCAAGGTCGTTGGCGGACTCACGCCTCCTATTGTCTTGCCTCTCAAGGAACTCAAGGCACGCCTGCTCTGACGAGTGCATGTGGAACTGCCTCGACGCGGCAAGTAGCTTTGTTGCGTTCTCATTGCTGATTATGAGCTTGGCCGAGTAGATGTAATCGAGCAACAACCGCACAATGAATGGCTCAACGGCATCAATGACTAGTTCATCTTTGGCAATGCGATCTCCTTCCTCTGTCACTTCATCTGCTAGATTATGGGCAAAGAATCTGCTAGTTGCAGCTAGGACTACTTTGTGACATCTAAATTGCGTATTTCCTACAAATATGTCGAAGTCTGTGAATCTGTCCTCTAATCGGAATTCATTGAGTTTGTTGAGCACGTCCGCTGCGTAATTCGGATCATCCACCTCCTTCTGTTCAAAGACAGATGACGTGACTGTCCAGGTGCTTCCATCTGTCTTGAAGCTGTCCGCAAGGCTGAACTGGCTTCCGTAGCGGCTCAAGCGGTAGAAGTTCCCTGCCATGGAAAGCCTCTTGGACAAGGACAGCGTCGACCCAGGAGTTCTCCTGATCACAAAGGACAAGTTATTGATCGGGGTCATGTCTTGTCGATGTCCGTTTGGTGCCGGAGGAGGCACCGGCGAGGATCGGATGATATCCTCGCATGATGACGGCTCTTCCTTGATTTCTGTGAATGGATGGCCCCCAGCATCGGGAATCTCTGGGTAGAGGAAGTTCCCGATCTCGGTAGAAGGCGGACGCGCCTTCTTTCGACAGCAGCTCTGGCAGCAACCCATCTTGTCTCCTTCACATGCTACAGCATACTATCCTTCAAGTCATCTGAAAGATACAATGTTCAGAGATTGGTACAGGTTAGATGTTGGGAAAGACTTTTAAAAGACATATTGAATGAATGAATGAATGGTGGTGGTTATTTTACCTGACTGCTAAGAAAGCATTTATAAATGCTTGTTAGAAAGCAACCAGATGGCTGACGGCTTTAGGTCCTCTCCTAGGGACCTGGTAATGAGGATTAATGCCTTACCTAAGGGCACTAGCGCATCGCCTTGATTTAGAACCCGGTTCACCGGATTACAAGACCACTGCTCTACCGACTGAGCTATCGTGCTTCCTCAATATTCTCTTTCTGATAGTAAACAAGGCAATCATGGGTTATTTCTTCAAAGCCTTTCACATTTGACCAATAACAAAGACCACTCTTTATTCCAATATTGATCTCATTATGAAATTAATCTGGTAAAGGTATTGGATATCAAGTCCTATCTTGCTGATTCACAAGCATGCTAATGAGACTTCAGCACCGATGTGTTTTTTTCAGGTCTCGGTGCAAATTGCAAAAAATCCTTGGTGGAATTTAGGTCAGAACCACCACAATCTCAAACTTTTACATAGGGCTCATGCATAAAGACCCTAAATAATTTTAATCTTGACCCTTCATGAAAATGTTAGTGTAAAGGCAGCCTTGTCTAAGACTCACCTAAACTGAACATAAAACCCCTTCGCAACCCTATTAAACCTAGAAAGCTTGAAGCAAAATATTAGACGACCGTAACAATCTCATACTGCCAATGAGTCAGGCTACATTCTGCACGGTGAGTTTCAAATATTTTGGCGTCTGGAATTCCAGCCTTATGAAGAGGTTATACCCTATGCCAAACTAACCTATCCATAATGAGTTTTCCAAATTGCCTACATGTGTAAAGACCATTTGAATTCTCCTGGATTAAAAGCAAATAAAAGTTTTATGCTTATTGCAGGGTTAAGAATGGTAAACAGCAAACCGTTGGCAAACAACAGAGGACCATTCACACTCAGTATCTAACATTAGGCCTGTCTTCATCAGCTCGAGATTGCCAAATATCCCGATATTTCAACTATCCTGATCGCAAATTATCCAGTTAGTTTGCATCTTCATCAGCCCGAAGTTGCAATTAGCAGTGCTTGGAATTAAAGTTTGAATACACATGTACATTCATTCATGAAAATACATGAATCCACAATTTGAATGGCGATTAAAAAAAGAGAAAAGCATTGACATAACTGTCAACCCTATGCCAATGCATTGCACGAAATTAGAGTTGCAGCATCCGCACTATATATACATTGCACCATAATATTTTATTTTTTGACACTATCCAGGGAAGTATGAACACAGCTCAAGTGCAATGTCGTAGCTGCATGACACGATTATGACGTGATCAAGTTTTTGTAATCTGTGTGTGTGTGTCGGTATGACAACTTCTCCTGACACATCCACACATACATTGTACTTGACGTTTTTATTGTTAAACCCTGGTGAAAGCTGAGCTAAACTGATGCCAGCACGTGGGATTTCAATAAAGCTAACTTTCGCTTCTGGTATTACAGAATTGCATTTCAAGATAAAACTTGCCTTGAGTCATTCTGCATTATTTATGAGGTGTTGTGGTAGAGTGTATACGGGTCAGTGAGCACTAATTTTTTTGACTTTTTGTTTTTGTTTTGCTCAACGAGGCGGGAGGGGGGAAAGAGCCCTAAAAAAAATTTAAAACACAAAAAAAATTGCCAGGTGAGGGCCCCTCCCCCCTCCAGTCTTCATTTTTTAAACAAAAAAAAAGGTAAAATTATTGTGTTTTTACCTGTTTTTTTGCCAGGGGAAGCCAAAGAAATTCTCTGAATCTCTTTAATCAAAAGTGATAGTACAAACTGCACTCCAACACACACACACACAAAATGAAACCCTAGTTTGGCTACACATTATTGGTATGGGAAATTATGAGAATTTGGGTCTTGTTCACTTGCATAGAATTTCTATCAAAAACATATCACATTTCTCTAAGAGATTTCCTCACAGCCAATCAAATGCAACAATTTCAGAAGCTATTATAACAGTTATTGTAACTGCTTAACAAGGTTTATGAAGTGGGGGCCAAATCATTAACAAATTTCACAGATCATTTTAAGTTTAGGAGTTCGAACCTTTCCAAATGATTTTATTCATAGCTATTAGCTAATACGACCTAATTCTTTTCTATCTCTCATGCCAGTTCCAGTTAACCTTACTTTTTGACATTTTCATTGTCTCTCGGAACACATGGTCCTGAAAGGAAATGAACAATTGCGATTAGTGTCATGTACTTTGATGACATTGAATCGCTATCCACAGACTCATTAGAATGACGCAAGTCATCGATTCACCACATCCATGAAAAACAGATCTAAGGTATAGCCCAATTTTTGAAGAGGGTAGCCTCAGTGATTTGAGATTGATGTTTTGCAATGTGAATTAAGTCAGGTGTGAAATAATACATGGCAAAATTTTGTCTACGTGACCGTCCCCGGTGCCCCCCCCCCCACTCAGTATTATTTAGGGTATGCGTACGCATGTTCCCTCTCTTGTATGAAAGTACCCCTTTACCAGAGATTTGGGAAAATGAATGTGATCCCTCCGTTCCCGGACCGTCTTATATCAATATATATATTAATCGCAATTTACTTGAGATTGATATCAATTGCAACTAAATATGTACTGGTACACATAAGAGATAGCAGAGTGCAAAAAACTTGTGAATGATTGGAGGACTTGCAGTTGATTTGGATCAATTGCAACTCTTTTATATTTAAAGACAGGGCCCCAGGGCTCAACACTATATGGAACACGTGCCCAGTGCTTTTTAGCCCTCATATTCTTTATCTACACCAACAAAAAATGTGGAGGAGGGGGGGGGGGGGGCGGCAGCATGCTCACAGGCCCCAACAAATTAATTCTGAATTTTAATGAAATAGAACAGTGTGGAGCCCTACCTACAAGAATTGTAAACCAGAAACTTTAATATGCATGAAACTTCACATATTCCATGAGTGATCCCGATTTGTGAAAGTTTCATGCCCTAAAACAACTTAATGCCAAGTTGACAACTGACACAACACTGAATTTTGTAATTTACTACGCTTTTTTCCACAAACACAACTGTCATTTTTCAAAAGTTTCATTTTGCCTATATTTGTGGTTCTTAAGTTAATGTCTAATACCTACTTGTACGACCAACACCGTTCAGTATATTTGAGACACTTTACTTGCAATGATGATAAATGCAGGCTTCCCATTATAAGTCATTGGATGAATGTATGATTCCAAATTGGTATTGGAAATCGTGCTTAAATGTCAACGGTACATGAGGCTTTCCTTCTTGACTTTTTTTCCAGATTAATGACGGCACAAACATTGTCAAACCGCAGATCATGCGGTCTACTATGACTCTTATGAGCCTTCCCATCTACTCATGTCATTGGTTAAATGACAAACTTTTTTGACACATACACAGTCACAAGAGATTTTTTTCCTGGGGCACATCAAACTGAATATTAGTGCAGAGTCTTAAAATTTGGTCTCTCGATTCTCAGTTATTAGCCTTTAACATTATCCCCCAATATGCAACTCAGTCAGGACCAAACCCTATTAATGTAAGTTGACCCGAGAGCTGTGGACTAGACTAGACCAACTCATATTTGCTCAAACATTGTTTTCAGGACAGCTCTTATTTTTTAAAGAAACGTTTAAATAAAGTGAGAACTGGGCCTTGATGGGTGTGTGCATGTGTTGATGCAATTGGATTTTTTAAATGAGGCATGTTGTAGATCTCTGGCTTTCATCCGATTGGGGTGGTATTAGAGTCTATAAATTCAGCCTCTCAATAATTGAAGGTATAACTTGCCTGTAACATATCATCACAAAAGTATAGAACAATGAGAGCCAACCACAACACCAACTCTCATTTGCCCGAAGAGCATTATTCTTCTTATAGGCCTCAATTATAAAGCGCTTAGAGACATTTGTATTATTAAAGCGCTATATAAGCGGAATATTGTTATTATTATTATTATTATTATCAAAGGGCAACCTATAGTACATAAAGTAGTAAATTAGGTCTTTATGTGCATTTTTGCAATTGGGTTTTCACAGACAGGTTTCAATCAGATACGATTCTTTACATTTGGGTATTTACTTTATATAAGGTATCATCATCCAAAAGACACGACTCTAGAACACTGACTTGACCCGAGACCCGGCAGCTAGATCAACTAAAGTGTGAAATGGGCCTTGACCTTAAAAACAGGTACACTGACAGATATTGTCTACCATTCTGTCTACAGTATGACCTCTATTTTCTTTGAAATATGATTGAGACACAACCAGAAGCCGACAGCTAGATCTTCTAGTTGCCAACACCACATCCTCTGTGAATTAACCCATTTCCTTACTGGATTTGGTCCAGATTTCAATAACTTCCGGTAGGCACGCTTGTTTAATTTTGGTTACCTCTGTATGCCCTGTATATTCCATGGATTGAATGAGATGATCAAAATCCTGATTTCCTCTGGAATGAAGTGATTGTAAACGTATCAAAGGTTTGACATAGTTGTTTTTAAATCTTATATTTTGTATATTTTGCACTTGTTTTGTTTCACTGACAGATTTTCTGCTTAGTGTAGCACCAAAATTGTGTTTATGACCCAGATAATTCTCAAGATCAGCATATTGTACGTGTAAAGTTAACAACTAAATTATTCATAATTTGATTTTGATTTTGATTTTGATTTTTTTAAATTATTTCCGTAACTCAATAATAAAAGGTGGGCTGGGACAATTAGGGCGTTTGCTGAATACTTTAGATTTAAGCTTTAATATTTCACATTTTCAAGAGACATAAATTGGTACAAGTCAATAATTTAGTTGGTAACTGTAAATGCCTATCTGTTGAGAGTCAGAATGACTTTAACTCATACGTTTCATTTATGTAACAGATCATATCATGTTTTGTGTGGTTTTGAATAAAATG